AGCATATCCAGCTGCGGTACTTCCTCCTGCGCGAGCTACAGCAGCGCCGCCAGGCCCGCGTAGTTCACTTGGCCTCGGGTGCCAACACAGCTGATATCTTTACTAAGGCGCTTGCGCCTAAAGATCATCAGCGGCACTGTGTACAGCTTGGTCTTGTTCCTATAGCTGCTCCCCTGTTAGGATCCTGATTGTGTACTCTCTATTATATATGCTTGTCAGACTGGCCTTGTGGCCTTACCTCCAGTGGCTGGACTAGTAGTGCCACCCTGGCTTGCTTCAGTTTTGGTTGTATTCTTGCTGACTGGTCTCCAGACCCCTGCCTCAGTGGTTGGACTAGTAGTGCCGCCCTGAGCTGTTTGCTTCTTGTTTAGTTTCACCCCTTGTCTAGCCTAGGGGGTGTGTCAACTTATACATATTATCTATGTAGAAGTTATAGGCTAGACTGAGGTATGCTTCTAGTGAGTACAACCAACTAGTATTTGTTCTAGGTTTCCACCACTAGTAATCATTCGTTTCTACGTTAACAGATGGGGCATTGTTGTAGGAAAATTCCAGCATGGGCATAAATTCTTCCCACCGGGCAGGATCGGGGCAGTTGGTGCGTATTAGCTGCTCCATGGTCTGATTGGTTCGTTCAGTTTGGCCGTCGGTTTGAGGATGGTAGGCGGAGGAAAATTGGAGGCGTGTGCCGTACTGGGCCCATGTCTCCTGCCAGAACTCGGACGTGAATTTGGGGTTGCGGTCGCTGATGATCGCTGAGGGTATGCCGTGTAGACGAACAACGGTGGAGATGAAAAGCTTCGAGGTATCTTCGGGTGTGATTGTTGTGCGACAGGGTGCGAAATGTGCCATCTTCGTCAGTCGATCGACGACGACCAGCACGGCGTCGTTGCCCGTGGCTGCGGCCAGGAGCCCCGTGACGAAGTCCATCGTCACATGTTGCCACGGTCGCTGGGGTGGCTCGAGCGGTTGCAGCAGTCCAGCTGGCCGCTGTCGAGAAGACTTCATGCGTTGGCAGATCGGGCACGCAGATACGTATCTCTGCACATCAGACGCCGAATCAGGCCAATAATAAAAACGGTGAAGTAACTTCTAGGTTTTGTCAACCCCGAAATGACCGGAGAGGTTAGAATCGTGGACTTCTTGAATCAGTAATTCGCGGAGGAGTCTGTAGGCGGGAACCCAGATACGGTCAGTACCAGCTTTTAGGAAGTAGGGTCCTTTGGCTGTGGTGGCTTGCTGGTGGAGGTTGCGGGTGAAAAAGGGGTCTGTGGTATATCCGTGGGTAAATAGGCCCATGAGCAGCGGGCTGGATTTTGCGATGATGATGGAGGCGAGGTGGACGGATGGTCGTGTCAGTGCGTCGGCGATGTTATTCGCCCCACGCTTGTACGTGATGGTGTAGTGGAATTTGCTTTCGAGGAAGTCCAGCCAGCGAATCTGTCGTGGATTGAGGTTTGGCTGCGCGCGGAGGTACTGTAGGGATTTATGGTATGTCCGTACTGTCACGTCGGCTCCCGTCGGGTAGCATCGCCACACCTTGAACGCGTGCACGATGGCGAGCATTTCTTTATCATGGACGGGATAGTTGCGATCGGCTGCTTGCAACTTCCTAGACTCATACGCGATTGGTTGGAGTCCGTCGCCAAAATCTTGTAACAGTATCGCACCGATGGCGAAATCGCTAGCGTCCGTCAAGACTTCGAACGGTCGAGATGGGTCGGCGATTCGGAGGACCGGGGGCGACGTCAGAAAATTTCGCAGTTCATCGAAAGCAGTCTGTTGTCTCTCCCCCCACTCAAACAAAGTGCCCTTCCACAGCAGGTCAGTTAACGGTCCGGTTATCCCGGCCATATTGGGGATATGCCGCCGGACGTAACTGACGAACCCAAGAAAACTCTGCAGATCCTGTAAATTCGTCGGCGGCTTCCAGTCGCGAATCGTTGTGATTTTCTTCGGATCGATTTTGATGCCGTCCGCTCCTACGACGTGTCCCAAAAATTCCAGTTCGGATTTGAGGAACTCGCACTTAGAGCCCTTCGTAATGAGGCGGTGTTCTTGCAGACGTTGGAAAACTTGCTCGAGGTCCTTGAGGTGCTGGTCCTGTGTCTTGCTGTATATCAGAATGTCATCAAGGTAGACGATGACACACTGGTCGAGGAGATCGCGGAATACGCCATTCATGGTGTACGTGTTCATGAGGCCAAACGGCATTACGGTGTACTCGTAGCTGCCATATCGGGTTCGGAACGCTGTCTTGTGGCAGTCGTTAGCGAAGACGCGGATCTGATGGTAAACGCCGCGTAAGTCGATTTTCGAGAAGAAGCGAGCTCCGCGAAGTTGATCGAGAAGATCGTCTGCGCGTGGGATTGGGTAGCGAGACTTAATGGTTCGCCGATTCAGCGCCCTGTAGTCGATGCACATTCGCAGCCCGCCGTCTTTCTTTGGCGTGAACAGGATGGGTGCCGCGAACGGTGACGTGCTGGGCCTAATGAACCCCTTCTCCAAGAGGTAGTCCAGCTGGCTCCGCAACTCCGTGAGTTCGGGCTGAGTCAGTCGCCACTGGGTCCTGACTGTAGGCTGCGCGCCGGGTTCCAGGTCAATTTTGTGGTCCTGGGGGCGCTCGGGTGGAAACCCTGCTGACAGGTCGTCCGGAAAAATATCCGGGTACCGTCGAATCAGCGTGGCGAGTTCTGCAGGGACATTGGCACAAAGTGTGTCAATGTCCGTTGGCGTATCATCGACCGTCGCTTCGGCCAGGTGGACGGCATACAGATCAGCTCCTTTTTTAACTGCTCGCTGGAGGGTGATGGCCTTGACACGTGTTGATACCGGATCCCTCCCACGCCAGCTCGGAAGTACACGCCACCCGTTTGCACAGTGCACGCTGCATTTGCCAGTTGTCTAGTCAATCCTCGGGTTGTATTTTTGCAGCCAATCACGCCCAAGCAGAATGTCGCAGCCGTCCAGCGTCGTGGCCAGCATGGGCATGCTGAATCCGAAGTCGTCGCCACACTTCATCCGCACCATGCGCGCTCGTTCTCGAATTGCAAGTGGAGTTCCGTCCACCAGGCGCGCATCGATTTCAGGAAGACATTTTTCCAACGTCAGCTTCAACTGCTTCGCTGTTGTTACGTGTATGAGACTGTGACTAGCTCCGCCATCCACAAATAATTTTATTTTTTTGCCGTTAACCTTGCCTTCGACCATCACAGGGTGATCTTCAGGTTCGCTCCCGTTATTCGTCCGAGTGCGGTCGATAGCGTGTATCGGTACCACAACTTGGTGGGAACATTGAAATTCGGGCGACAAAGCCTCGTCAGTAGGGGGCCCGTCTGCTACTAACTTTTCCCATTTCCCGGCTTCCCCTTGTCGTTCTTCGTCTTCTTGGTTGCCGTCGGGCAGTGCTTAGCTCGGTGACCTGGCTTGTCACATCGAAAACATAGCCCGTGAAATATTTCATCGGGCGCTGACACGCTAGTGATCGTGGGGCGGGGAGACTGTCCACGAAAACGACCAACATCCCTGTTGTTCTTTCTCGCCCACTGCTGCAGTGCATCGGCTGCTGACGCCAGTTGGACAGCTTCATCGAACGTTTTGGGACGGGACCGCTGCAGCTCGTATTGAATATCGAAATGCAGCCCGCTAACGTATTTGTCCCGCCTTTCCGCTTCGCTGAGGTCGTCGACTTGGTCTGCAAGTGCCGAGAACGACGCAGTGTAATCTTGAACAGTAGTCACCTTCCGCCAGTTGCGCAGCTTCATGCGAGCGTCGTCTGAGGCGGATGAGTGCTCAAAACGAGCTTGCAGAGCTGTGCCCCACTGTTTCCACGTGCGAATCGTGGTCGTACCGAATATTGCTTCTGCCTGTTGGTTTGAAGAGTCCGAATTCCCGTCCTTCGCCTGCTTCACTCCTGCCAGAGTCCCAATCGCCAACTGTCGGCGCCACCAATCCAACGCCGGTCCTCGAAGCAGCGAGACAGCATAATTAATGCGCGCGTCATCCGTGTGTACACTTGCCGCCGTGAAGAACAGCTCCATGCTGAACAACCACCCTTGCACCGTCGTCGCCTTGTCCGAAGGGTTGAACGGGGGCGGTGTTGCTGGCTTGAGTTTTATCTTCGTTACGGTCACAGTGCGCACGTCGTTTTGCTCCAACTCCCGTGCGAGCTCGTCAAGAACGGTTTCGCTCGCTGCGTCGTCGGCACCTTGCTTGACCTCGTCTTCGGCGACTCCAGGCGACTCCTGACGCGCTTCACTACGCGTATGGCGAAGCTCGGTGTTCTCCGTTCGAAGTCTCACGACTTCACTGTTCAAACTCGCCATCTGGGCTTGCATTGCCTGCATCTGAGCCATGACCTCGTCTAGCTGGGCCTGAGACATGATGCGAATGCTACGCCTTTCGGGCAGGGGGAAGGCCGTGGTAAGAAACCGTAGGGGGCGCAAACGCTATCGTAGTTGTGTGCGCTAATAACTCTAGCTCACGAACAACCGCTTTGCAGCCCCGCAGGGTTAACCACGCCTGGGAAATAAACTACCCTGAGAAAGCGGGGTGAACCAGGAAAGTAGCTCTGATACCAGATGTTATGAATAATAACTGAGAGTGCGCGGAATAATAATGACGAGTACAAGAATGCTAGCCTAGCATTATATAGCGAGAGCTCTAGCTAGGAGACGAAGCCGGAGGGCTAGGTTGGGTACAGGCGCGGTCGAAAGGGTCGGAGGCGGCGCGGGCGTGCCTCGGGGTCACGTCGGAAACGGACCGAGCATGGTGTTCCGAGAGTTCGGGTGTACGCGATTGCAGTACAACCCGGTAAGGAATAAAATTCCGTACAGTTTACATTTTGTTACGGAAGTGAAACATTTCCTCGATAAATATGGTAACACTTACTACCAATACCTCGCAATTTTCGCGTCCGTCGCCGATTCGCCAATCGTGGCCAGCGCTGGCATTATGGATGTGTTGGGGCATCGCCCTGGTTGGGCCACTGACACCTCGCCTGGCATCACCCCACCAGCTCTCTCCATCCCTCAGGCAACTTCATCCCCCTTTCCAACTCTGCTTCGTAACCTCGTGGCGCCCCACGGATTTTCGTTTTGCTAATAAGAAAGGCTCGCGTCGCCGGTACAGGGCACAACGCGAGCTGATCAAGCGCAATTCTCAGTATGTGTCGCAGCACAAGGCTCGAATGGGGCCGGTCCGAATAGCTTGTGTGACAGAAGCGCGCAGCTCGAGATTCGTTTGAGACGAAGGCGATCGGCGGGCAGATGAACGCTCGACGTGTCGTGCCGTATCCATGGCACCTGGCATGTGTGCTGGTCGCTCTCGCCACTGCACAAGTGAGTCCTCGATCACCGTGCTCGCTCCGTTCTTTCACCCTCGCCGCTCCTTCCTCTGCTCCCGTGCCCCCCCATCCAGCCATGCCGTCGTCCCTTGCGCCATGCCGTCGTCCCTTGCGCCATGCCGTCGTCCCTTGCGCCATGCTGTCTCCCCTTGCGCCATGCTGTCTCCCCTTGCGCCATGCTGTCTCCCCTTGCGCCATGCTGTCTCCCCTTGTGCCATGCTGTCTTCCCTCTTCCTAACCCTATCAGAGCTTGCCACGTGTCGCATCGACGGACATGGAGGGCGGGCTGGGGGGAGCGGAGGACGCGTGGGGGTGGGCGTACCGGCCGGAGGTGTGCGGCGCGTGGCACACCAACTACACCCATCTGCACCGCATCATCCGCTCCGCCGCCCGCCAGCTCATGCAGGCGCACCTCGCTAACCCCGCTGCTGGTGGTGGCGGCGGTGGTGGTGCTGATGGCGGGGGAGGGGCAGGGGAGGTACAAGGGGACGAGGAGGGGGGAGCGGATGGGCGCGGGAGTGGTGGCGGCGAGGGGGTGGAGCGCACGGCGGCCATGGTGCGCTTCGCCACGTACTCGTGCGACTCGCTGGCGCGGTGCGGCGGCGTGGGCGACGTGGTGCTGGGCGTGTTCTCGACGTTCCTCGTGGCACTGCTGCAGGACCGCGCGCTCGTGCTGCAACACCCGCTGCTGCACCACGCCTTTGAACCCGTGCACGTCGACTGGACCATGGCCGACGACGTGCCCGCCGGGCCGGGCAGGGAGCTCGACCCCCACAACGACACGGACGGTCAGGATCACACACCCTCGTGCGCCCCTCCTCCTCCCATCCCTTTCCTTATCTCCATGGGCTCATTCCCCTTGCCTCTCCTTTCCACCCGCGTTGCTCTCTCCTCATTCCCTCCCCGCCCACCCATCCGCCACACCCGTCCGCCCCGCCCGTCTGTCTCACCGCTCGCCCTTCCACCCCGGGTGCAGAGGCGCAGCCCGGCGAGGTGACGGCCATCAACCTGCAGGACACGGTGCCGGCCAGCCCCGAGGCGCTGTTTGCGCGGCACGAGGCGGCGGCCAACATCTTCGTGCGGTGGAACCGCGGCGTGGCCACACGCATCTTCCGCGAGGGCGGCGAGTGGAGCCGCCTGCTGCACTCGCTCGGCCTGCGCCTGCCTGTCACCTTCGGCTGCGTCATCCGCTTCCTCCTCAGGTGCCAGGCGCGTCCTGCTGATGTGCCAGGCGCGTCCTGCTGAGGTGACGTGCGCTTCCTGCTGAGGTGCCATGCGCTTCATGCTGAGGTGCCATGCGCTTCCTGCTGAGGTGCCATGCGCTTCCTGCTGAGGTGCCATGCGCTTCCTGCTGAGGTGCCATGCGCTTCCTGCTGAGGTGCCATGCGCTTCCTGCTGAGGTGCCATGCGCTTCCTGCTGAGGTGCCATGCGCTTCCTGCGGAGGTGCCATGCGCTTCCTCCTCAGGTGCCATGCGCTTCCTGCTGAGGTGCCATGCGCTTCCTGCTGAGGTGCCATGCGCTTCCTGCTGAGGTGCGAGGCACGTCCTGCTCAGATGGTCTGGTTTGCCTGGCCTTGTCCTCATCCGCCTTCTTGGCTCAGGTCTGCCGGTTGTTTGACGCTTCACTCCTCACCCTCATAGCCCGCTCTAACCTGCTCAATCCTCACACTCACCGCTGCCAACGATGCACAGCAGGCATCACCAGCCTCCAGGGAGCGCAGCAGCAGCAGCAGCAGGGCAGGCTCTTTGAGGGCACGCTTAAGCAGCCCTGGAGCTTCGTCTATCCCACCCCTGCTCTCGCCCCTCACCCCTGCTGCCTTATTCCTGCCTTACCACTCTCTGCTCTGCCCGCCCTGGGCGGGCGCTCCTCCCCTGCGCAGGCCCAAGGCGGACGTGCTGAAGGCGGTGGAGCGGCAGATGCGGGAGCTGGAGCGGCCGGGGGTGAGCAGCATCTGCATCCACACGCGCACGCCCGACGAGATGACGTGGACCAACCGCGGGGAGGTGCTCAACGGGGAGAACGACGCCGCCGCCGAGCTGCTGGGGTGGGCCAGGAGCAAGCTGCTGGCGTGCGCTCAGGTGAGAGGGGCTTGCTTTGTGCTGCTGAGAGCTGTTTTTGGTTTGAGTTTTTCGGTTGTCATTCCCCCGCATGACCCTCTGAGTGTGCCATGCTTTCTGGATGCTGATTCCACAGCGGTTCTCACCGCATGCATGGCATTGTGCATGCTTCTGCGTGCTGCATGCCACATGCTGCATGGTGCATCCCCCCCAAGCAGAAGGTGGAGGACTTTTGGATCCCATCGGACGTGCCCGTGCGGTGGGTGTTTCTCAGCAACTCACGCGATATCAAGGATGCAGTTATTAGCGAGTACGGGGACAAGGTGCTCACCACGGGCATCACCCCGCTGCACACCGCCATGGTGCGAGCAGCGGCGGCACGCGTGGCGTCGTGGCAGACGTCGGTGGCGGAGTGGGTGCTGCTGACGCGCTGCTCGCTGTTCGTGGTGACGGAGTCGGGCTTCTCCAAGACCGCCGCGCTCTTCTCGCTGCGCCCGCTCGCGGTGTACCTGCTGGCGCGCCACCACTACCGCAGCCAGCGCAACGCATGGACCGACTCCTGCGACCCCGAGCGCCCCGCCTCCTTCGCCCTGCTGGGCGAGCGCTGGAGCGGCATCTGACAGCTGGCGGTGGAGTGTGAAACCGTGTGGGAGCGGTGCGCTAGGGAAGGCTGAAGGCACCTAATAAGGCTCGTGGTCTCCTCTTGGCCCCCCTTAGAATGGGCCATTCCACCTTTGTGGGGTCAAAGTCCCATACCATATTGTCAACTCCAGTCTTCAGGTGTGCTGAGCAGATTCATTTGTACCAACATACCGTGTGCTATTTGTCTCATACTCCCACAACCACCGAGGTAAATTGGCTACTCCAACCAATGTGACATGCCTTGGTGTTAATTGCTCTACGTCCCAGGGGAAATTTATTGCAGATGCATGATCCCTTAATAAGGTGACTTGGCCATACGCAGTTGGAAGTCACAAACAACCACATATATTTCTTATATGATCCTCTTTTATATTTAAAAGGAACAGACGTTCGCGTTATACGAGCACAAGCATTGTGGCGCAGATGTTTCCCGGTGGAATGAGAAGGCACGATCGAGGAGTGCCGCATGGGGCCACGCAAACGTTCATTCATCAGGAGAAGCGAAACAGAGGCAGGCGTTGGGGAAAGATTTCCAAGTCGCGCCGCCGCCACACTTCCGCTTTTCGGCTAGGGCAATCAAGCGGCGACAGATTGCATGGAATGACATGAACGGTTTGGATCACACGAGTCAAATGCGCACGTTCTCGAGTTGAGCGCCTGCAATGCAATGCGCGCATTTTGGTTGGCCCGATGTGCTTTGGTCGCACCTGCCTGCCGAATGCAGGGCTTACGCTAGGCCCCAGGGAGTTTCAGAAGGTGCTGACTTATGGTCCAATCATACCCAGAATTTCACTCGGAATTCTTCCAAGTTCTCCGAGCGGTAACTCTGCCTAAGCGGAAGGGCTTTTCTGCCTTCTAGTCTAGTGTTTGTGGCGCAGATGACGGAGCAATTTGAAATGAAAGCTAAGTCCCAAACCCGAAATCACGCTTGATGCTCGTGACAGAGATAACGCAGTGGCGGAGTATTTGCTCCTTACTTAATGCCATGCTGCTAGACTAGTCCATCAGGTTTGAAAACCTGTCAGAATGCATCCGAATTCAAAGGCTCATTGATTCGGCCAATTTCAGAGATTCGGCAGAAATCCGGGTTCAGGGTCCAGAAAACTCTTAATTTCTCAACATTTAGGGTAGCTACCCTTCTAGCGTAAGCCCCCCACCGCCACCACCACCACCACCACCACCATGTCCCTTCCTACTGCCCCCAAATGGCCTGAGAGGTCAAACCAACGCGGTTTGGTGAGATGCTTTTTGTTTCAGAGAGAAACAAATGAGGTTTGAGACGGTTGGGAATAGTTTTTAGCGAAAACTAACTCAAATGACACCCCCTGAAGTGGCGGCTCTGGGGAGACCCTTCCACCTTTCCAGCTCGATCCTACCCCCATCCAATGCTTTGGTGATCAATGCGGACAGCAATGAATGAACCGAGTGAGCAACAGTGCACAAGGCAATTGGCCTGCGCCGCCATAACCTCCTACAGGGATCCCACCGCGTAGTGCGCTCCTTTGGCATCGAGATGCAGGTGTAGTTAGGACTAGGACCCGAAAGGTTACCTTTTGGCACTCGGCTCAGCCGACCAGCACAGCACCCTACGATCTGTTGAAGCGTTGATCGCGCAGGGCGAGCGGCGCCGCCCAATGTAGGGGCGATGTCGGACGGATTGCTGGACTTCGCGGCGCTGAGCCACCGGACCAGCGAGGCGGGGTGGCAGGCCGACAGCTCGACGCCGCGCGAGCTCAAGGTGTTCACCTCGTGCACCACCGTGTTAGGGCCGCTGCTCGAGGGCTACCCGCCCGACTCGTACGCAAAGCACGAAGACGCGGCGAAGTCTTCGTTTAGTCTTAAGAAGCTGTTCGGCGGCAAGTCGGGCAAGTCGAAGGAGGACGACGCGAAGGCGCGCGACGCGGAGGTGCGGCTCGTCCTGCAGGCCGCCGCCACGCCGCTCGCTGCGGTGCCGAAGCAAATAAGCCTGCCGCGACCGACGACGCCGGAACTCACGCAGGTACGACGCCTCGCTACCGCCGTGCGCGAGAGGCGCGAGAGGCGCGAGAAGTGTGAGAGGGAGCATGCTTTGCACTGTGTTGCGACGAAGCCATTGCCATTGCAATGCTCAATCGTCCCTGCAGCTGCCGGAAATGTTGCGCAAGCTGGAACTGCGACGAGCACTCGATATGGGGCTGCAGAGCACTCGGTGTTAACCCCTGATACGGAAAGAGCGGATGGGTAGTGGTCGGAAACAACGGTGCTGCGCGGTGTGCGCAATGTGGGCACTCGTGCCTTCACCCGCGTCGTTGTGAGTCGGCTGGTCCGATTGCGCGCATGCAATGGGTGGGTTGCTTCTCGCGCGCGACATTCTAGAGCCAATGCCTGAGCGTTAGAGCGAACGACTCGACTGTTTCGCTTCATTGTGCAGCAGGCGCCCGCCCGTGGTCTTGTGCGGCGGGGAATGTGAGTGGTGAGGAGGACGACGCGGAGGAGCGTCCAACGACTGCCCTAGTGACGGTCGCCCAGCTGGTATCCTCAGCTCGCCCCATGCCATCCTCAGCGCGCCCCATGCCATCCCCAGCGCGCCCCATGCCATCCTCAGCGCGCCCCGTGCCGGCGCCTGAGCGCCACAGCTCGCTGACCGCCCTTTTTATCTTTGGTCCCCGCACTCTCCTCCCCGCCCTCGCCTCGCCGTCAGTACCAACGCACCACGCGGGACGTTCTAAAAAGTTACATCGCCGCGTCGGGCGGCTACAACACGCACACGTCCCACCAGGGCTCCGTGATTTGCGGCCAGATCAGCCAATGGGCGTCCGAGATCGTGATGGGGAATAAGACGGTCTACGCGTCGCCTACAGCACGGCTAGCGGGCGGCGACGCGGCGACGGGAAGCTTCCGCGTGCTGCAGGTGCCTCCCAACACGTGGCACATGGGGATCAGCGTGGGCGAATACCGGATGGAGGCGGCGTGCGACGGCGAGCTGGTGTGGCGACGGAGCAGCTGGATGCCCGCGACGACGGCCAAGGGGCCCGTGCGACCGCTGCGACATTTGCTAGCGGTGAGTGTTGAGCTGAGATGACACAGTGACGTGCGCTCAAGGCGGGGTCAGACGGCTGCGTGCGGGTATGCTTCCATTCCAACCGAGCTCAGCTCACATGGCGCTACCTGCTTGTCCTCCCCCTTTCCTTGAAACCCTCACCCTTTCAATCCCCCCTCTCCCCCTCCCTTCCCTCATCACTCCCCTGCTCCCCGCGCCTCTTTCCTCCCCCCAGGGTCTGGACCCGCCGACGGTGGCGGACGTGTTTGCGGCGGGGGAGTACGCGGGTGACGAGAGCGTGGAGGGCGACGAGTGCATGTGCCTCAAGGTGATGGCCAACCCGCTCGCGCTCATGTCCATGAGCACGGGCGGCAACACCATGGGCGGGCGGCAGCAGGACACGTGCGACGTGCTGGCATACCAGGTGGAGGGGCTCTTCAGCAAGGCGTCGGGGCTCCTCGTGGGCCTCAGGGACCACCACCTCACCAAAACCAAGGTGCGATCAGCCGTTAGCCAGGGCCACTTTCAGGCGCCAGCCAGCTCAGTGCTTGGAACTCGAGGGCATGTTTCCGGTGGCTTGCAGCAGAAGCTGGGAGAAAGTCAACGTCTGCATGTAAGAATAGGTACTGGAGGAAAATTATATTTCACCGTCACTGGATAAACGGGGAGCAGTGTTGTGTAAATGGTTACAGGTTTTTATGAGGTGAAAATTGAGGTGGTAGAATATCATGAGAGAATGCTCTGGGTAAGATGTGGGGTTGTGTGTAACTGAGAGAATGCAATGTGTAAATGATAGTTCGGTGTGCTGAAGATGGCTCGTGCTGTTTCTGCCTTTGCCCTACAGACAACAAGCAACACCACCATCTACTGGGAGCGAGTGATGGTGACTCGAGTAGAGGACTTCCAACCAAGTGAGGGCGGCCTGCTCATTCCTCGTCGTGGCCGCTCCGTGCTCTCCCTAGCCAAGAGGTGTGATGATGACCCATCTGGCACCATGCGTGCATGGGTGAGGGAGCAATGGACTGTCGAATCTGTAGGTCGGGACACTTCCTCCATCAAAGGGCTGCTAGTACGGCCGTCGGACCTGATTATAGCATCAAGCTCTGCCTCCCTTCACAGAGGCTAACAGCATGGCTCTTGTTACCCTGGAGAAGTACGATTGCTAGGTATTAACATTCATTTTGTTGTAGAACATTAGCTTTTAGAGGTGAAAGCTGTGCTTTTAGGTAATTCTGTACAAGTTTGTGTGCATGCACACAACTGGTAGCAGTAGTTGCAGTACAAGAGTAAGGTGTTGATCTGATGTACTGGGCAATGAAGGTTCCAAGCCCCATGCTACTTCTACAGACGCATGAGTAAATTGGATTTCCTCAGGAGGTGACATGTCTGGGGATTGGGGAGCACATCAAGTACAGAATGTGATTATATGAGTGTTTGATTGCTAAATATAAGCTGCAGGATCTATTACAGAGCTACAATCAGCTGATCCAGTATCTGAGTAAATGACTTGCTCTGCCTGACCCGCACACCCACGGGCCACGAGGACGTCATGGTCGCTCTCGGGTGTCTTGTCACGAGGATCCGCGTCAGCATCTGTTCCCATCCACCAAATCAACATCCTCCCACACCCAGCCTGACGTCAAGCCGAATGTCTCGATTCGGCGAACTTCGCGTCGAATGATATGTTTGCTTGCCTTGCTTCTCTAGGTTCGGTTGCCAGACGTCACCAATCAGGTTGTGCTCAAGGTGAGGCTGCGATGTTCCTTGCGGGCGATGGCTGACAGACAGTTCCGTGTGCGATGACGCGGAACAGATGGCTGGCGATACTCCATTTCGCAGTGCAAAACGGAAAGCGTGGCGAAAGTCGTTTCGCAGTCGCAACAAAATCACACGCCGCGCATCTCTCTCTGCCCAAACCTTCTGCCTCAAACGAACCGTGTTGGGGGGGCCTGGGTTCACGCGCACCCCAGAGTGCCGCGTGATTTGGGGATTCGGTTCGGTCGGGGGAATCGGGAGACGCGGGAGGGCCTGGGGCAGGCAGGCACAGCCTCAGAACAGAACGGCCATTCACCGCTTTGGCCTCGAACCCCGGCCGTGGGGTTTGGGGAAGACGCGGTCAGCCGTTCTCGGCTTCCCCGCAGCTTCGTCGCCCCCCAGCTTGGCCCCGCAGCTTGGCAGCTTGGCGATAAAACCCTCCACTCGCCGCCATATCCTGGCAGTATACCCTAGCTTCATTCCAACTATCTCCATCAATTGCTCCTACTGTATTCGCTTCTCCCGCTCTATTTTAGACTGAAGCCAGCTCATAACCTAGGTATCTCTTTGACTGATCGTTCAGCTTGCGTTAGAACACTATCCCTTGTGTTGCTGGCCTTCACACTCAGTGCGTCTTATTCAAAGAACATGAGCATGGCCAAAGGCGTGCATCACGATTCAGAGTCGAAGGGGTCGACTGACCTGAGCGACCTTCAGAAGAAGGAGCTGACGGACGCGTTTGCGAGAATCGACAAGGACGGCGACGGCGTGATTACAGCGGAGGAGCTGGCGACGGCGCTGAATCTCATCGGCGTGTCGGCGTCGGAGGACGTGGTGTCGTCCATGATGCGCGAAGGGGACTTCGACGGCAACGGCAGCGTCAACTTGGACGAGTTTCTCGCGCTGAACGCCATGGCGGAGCGACTAGGAGGCGACGTGTCGCGGTCGGTGCTGAAGGACGTGTTTCAGGTGTTCGACGCGGACCACAACGGCGTCATCTCCGCCGACGAGCTCTTCCGCGTGATGGCGAGCGTGGAGGGCGGCGGGGTGACGCTGGAGGAGTGCAAGCGCATGATCAGCAGCGTGGACACGGACGGCGATGGCTTCGTGGATTTCACGGAGTTCGAGAAGATGATGATGGCGCAGAACGTCGTCAGGCACGTCGCCTGCTGAACGTCATGCGCCACGTCGGCTGACACCGCTTTCGCACCAATAAGGAGCATGTGCTCATAGGTGTCCGAGCACGGCGCCCATCATAAGCCGCTGCCTTGGTAGCCCTTCGATGCAGCCTCAGCTTGCAAGGGCTCTCTATCAGGCGGCACGTCGCACTTGTATGTACGCCATCTGTCGATCGTTCATTTCCATTATGGAAAGACCTTACAATACAAGCATTTGAGACGATATGTGAAGCCCTGCTGCGATGCATGTTTTGGCATGTCCATGAGCGCCTAGCGCGTCGGGCTGGTATGCGTGAGAGGAGATATGCAGCTTCTGACCTCACTTGAAGGGAACACGATGGTACACCGGTCACCCTAGGCAATAGATGAAATCAAATACGCCGTGGAAGGGGTGGTGAAAAGAGAGGTGATGGGTAGAATGGTGGAAAGGGACACACGGGAAGCAGTTCGTGGGAAAATGCCAGACGTGCTCCCAGTTTTAGGGCGTATTCCTACGAAGTAGGTTCTAACATGTTGGATCTAAAAGCACTTGAGCCAGCTTTATGGTATGCTACAGCGAGGTTCTACTAGCACTCAAAATGCAACAAACGCGTGGGAGAGGCGATTGGTGCTGCGATTATCGAAACCCTTAACGATTGGTCGAAACCTTTTCGTAACCTTTTCGCCCCTCGCGACTCTTGGTTAGAACTCCCCGTTGTAAAACAGCAGGATCTACACAGGATCAGGCTTGGAGCAGCGAAGAGAGCTGCGAAGAGAGCTGCAGCACTCTGATGTACACACTCAACATCATCCAACAGTTTGAGGTGTATTTGCCAGTAAATATGACCATGGTACACAAGCATGTCACGGATCTGGCACATCAGTAAATTGATTCTCATTGCACAATTGTGAGCAACAAAGAAGCAGCACGCAGGTGCCATCTAACAACCATTCCAGCCAAGCCAGGCCGACCACCAACTTGCTCCCTAGCTCAATCCTCCTTGTCACCACCTCTACTTAGCATCCAGCCTCCCGGTGCGTGCACCAGTGTGGTGCCTACATGCCGATTTGCGCGTGCGCCTTGTTGAGGATGACGCCCTCGTACTTCACCTGGAACCACTTCATCGCGTCCTCCTTGGTCACGCGGTGCTGGATGCCCACGCGGCACTTGGCGCGTCGCCGCCGCGACACACGGTAGCCGGGCCGCTCGAGCACGACGAAGAAGTCCATGCCGTAGATGCCCGTGGACGGGTCGTACCTGCGTGTGTTGTGGGGGGAGGGAGACAAGGGCAGAGGGGTTGGGTAAAAAAAGATGCAGAGGAAAGCCACACAGCATCCAGGTGGTGCGATCCTTTTTCCCGCTGTACATCATGTGCTTCTGAATACTTACTTAATCCCCAGGTCAATGTGCTCCTGAATACCGAACCCAAAGCAGCCGGTCTCGCTGAAGTTGCGGCGAAGCAGCTCGAACTCCTTCACCTGCTCGCTCACACCACACCAAGACACACAGAAGAAAAGGAATGCACACAAATTTCACAAACGAGCACAACAAAGATAGTTAACGCCACAAGCTTCGACGAGAAAACCCTAATGACCAATGTGCAATGTGCCATAATCTCCAGCACTCCTGACAGCGGACGCAACAACTCACGGATGCCCTCGTGGAGGCATCACAACCCGCCTCACAGCCACGCCTTCAAGCCTACCCACTTGACGCCATTCAAGCCCGCCCCACCTTAACCCGATGCCGATTTTTGAGTCCTAATGTCCAGCGTACTGCCCTAAAGCCAACCTTGAAACCCATCGCAACGCAACGCTGTGAATCCCAACCCAAGGCCTTAAATCCCACCTTGAGGCCTTGAATCCCACCTTGAGGCCTAAATTCCCACCTTAAGGCCTTAAAGCCCACCTTGAGGCCTTCAAGCCCACCTTGAGGCCTTCAAGCCCACCTTGAGGCCTTCAAGCCCACCTTGAGGCCTTCAAGCCCACCTTGAGGCCTTCAAGCCCACCTTGAGGCCTTCATCCCACATCACGGCCTTAAAATCCCACCTTGAGGCCTTAAATCCCACCTTGAGGCCTTAAAGCCCACCTTGAGGCCTTAAAGCCCACCTTGAGGCCTTCAAGCCCACCTTGAGGCCTTCAAGCCCACCTTGAGGCCTTCATCCCACATCACGGCCTTAAAATCCCACCTTGAGGCCGCTCTCGATGAGCTGCAGCGCCTTCTCGCCGCGCACCGTGACGTAGCACGCGATCTTCTCGTTACGGCGAATGCCGAACGACCGCACCGTGTAACGCGCTGGGGGGGAGGAGAGAGGGGGCGGCGGGAGGGAGGAGAGCGGAGGGAGATAGGGGAAAGCGACGTGAGTCGGAGAGAATTCAAGGGGCAGCCCTCGCTCCGATGTGGCACGCACGGGAAAGTGCGAAAAACGAGACACGAACTGACGCACTCGGGTAGATGCAGCCGATGCACTCACGGATCGCCATGGCCCAGGGAAGCAGCAGCTCACGACGTCGACGCAGAGGAGAACGCGGAAGGGGGAGGCGGGTGAGAGACCAGGGAGAGCGGATGGACAGAGAAGAGAGAGAGAGAGAGCTGAGGGGGAGAGAGGGCTGAGGGAGAGAGAGAGCTGCGGGAGAGAGAGGGCTGAGGGAGAGAGAGGGCTGCGGGAGAGAGAGGGGGGGGAGACGGGGGGCAAGCGAGGGAGCTGACCCTTGGAGAAGACGGGCACTTGACCGCTGAGCTGCTCCAACACCTGCCATGGGGGGCGCGGGGCGGGGAGAGCGGGGTGAGCGGACGGGAGGAGGCGGGCGCAGGAGAGGGAAGGCGATGAGAGGGGAGGGCAGGGAGGAAAACGAGGAGGGCAGGGAGGAAAACGAGGAGGGCAGGGAGGAAAACGAGGAGGGCAGGGAGGAAAACGAGGAGGGCAGGGAGGAAAACGAGGAGGGCAGGGAGGAAAACGAGGAGGGCAGGGAGGAAAACGAGGAGGGCAGGGAGGAAAACGAGGAGGGCAGGGAGGAAAACGAGGAGGGCAGGGAGGAAAACGAGGAGGGCAGGGAGGAAAACGAGGAGGGCAGGGAGGAAACATGCACGCGGCGTTTGCCACTCCACAGCCGTCGCGAGAGCCTGCTACCACCCCGTTGACGAGCGGGCGCAGAGCGGTGGGACGCAGACTGCTGTGGAAAGCTAAGGCTGCTCGACCGTGGCGTCACAGCCGCGCGCGACGGAAGCGGAGCACCGAGCGGATGGGAGAGCCGGCACGGGCCCGTGCCGCGGAAAGCCTGTAACGGCCTGCTGACGCCACCTTCTAAAGAGATTCGGGCCATCGGCGCGCTAGTCGAGTAGAGTCAGCAGAAACCCGAAATCGCTCGAACAACGCGCGGCACTTCAGAGTGACGACGCGCACGTGCGACACCGGTCGATCCTAAGAACCCTGACTCCTGACACCTGTGTCCGCCGCTACATGAACCACCGCTATCCCGAGACTCGTAGCCCTTCCCCTCAGCGCCGCTTCTCAGCTTCGCACCTCTCTACCGCCTCTACCGCCTCTGCCGCCTCTACCGCCTCTGTCGCCTCTACCGCCTCTGCCGCCTCTACCGCCTCTGCCGCCTCTACCGCGTCTACCAGCACACAGGTCGCCCTTCGACCTGCCCGAGAACGCTAGCGGCGTGCAGCGGCGATCAGGTCAAAGCGTGGCTGGCGATCAGGGTAAAGCGTGGCTGGCGATCAGGGTAAAGCGTGGCTGGCGATCAGGGTAAAGCGTGGCTGGCGATGAGGGTAAAGCGTGGCTGGCGATGAGGGTAAAGCGTGGCTGGCGATGAGGGTAAAGCGTGGCTGGCGATGAGGGTAAAGCGTGGCTGGCGATGAGGGTAAAGCGTGGCTGGCGATGAGGGTAAAGCGTGGCTGGCGATCAGGTCAAAGCGTAGCTGGCGATCCAACACACCGCCCAGCCATCTCCCCTATCCGCCGCTCATAGTAGGCCGTTCCTCTAGCGGGAAGCCAGAAACGATGGGTACGAGTGGTCTAGGGTGTGGCGCCCCAACATCTCGCGCGGGCTAAGGGACGCGATACACTCTGGCAAAAGAGGCTAGTAGGAGGCACCCCTGCAGTCCGTGGGTCGGGCTCGCCACGCCGACGCGCGTCAGGCTGACTACAGAAGGCCGCCCTGGTGGAGCAGCAAGCCGGCACTACACTCGTGGCGACTATTCCCACCTTGGCCGCGCGCGTGAGGCGATCGCCGCTCTCGCCGACGCAGATGTTGAGCACGAGCTTCTGCACCTTGATCTCCCTCATCGGGTTGTTCGCCTTCTTCTCCGACGCCTGCCACGTGCCCAACCACGCATGCCACACGCACACCACACTCACACCACACGCACGTTCGTCACCAAGAACACATCCCCCCACACCATGGACAGCACCCACATCATGTACCAACGCGTTGTGAACCATCCAGAGAGCACACATCCAGAGAGCACACATCGAAGCCAAACACAACCACCGCGCACACCCCCCGCTCGCAGGCGACGCGCGGCAAGCCGCGATTTTGGACAACAGGATTCACGCGGGGACAGCCCAAAACGCGCAAGGAGACGAATATAGAGAGCCGGTTGGGGGCCTGACGACTCGCATCCGAGAGAGATAGAATCATGTAACTCCATAGCGGGTAGATGCCTGAATCCCTAGAACGCAACGACTAGGTCTACGCCTTCCACTTAAATTCAGACGTGACTCCCAATCGCACGGGTCTAAGATCGGATTGTGGCTAATCGCCCGAGGCTCCGTCGAACACATGTCAGCATACCCATGACGTCATCATCTAAATGAGCAGTTCTAGTAGGTTTCGCGCTCACCATGGTGAAGGTGTGGAGTGTCTCCTAAAGCGTGGGGTGTTCCGCGAGGGGAAAAGAACTAAGGGAGGGAGCAGAGGAAAGATGAAGGGAAGCGAACGGAGGGGAGCGGGCCGGGCGAAAGCACGAGGGCACGGAGGGCAGGCGAAGCGGGCAGCGGGAGGGTAAGGGGAGGACAAGAGAGAAAGGGCTGGTTGGGAGGGAGGGCGTCGGTGGTAGACCACCTGAATCGCCGCACTTGTCGAAAACTCGATTCTGTCACCCGCGATAGGAAACTAGACATTCTCAACAGTAACTTCAAGAACCCATGTTATAACTTAACTGCACACTACAATGCGTTTTGAATTTGGCTAAAAATGGCTTTTGTGCATGCATCATGTGTTTACATTCCACACGATTGAGTGCATAAACTAAACGATCGGAATTTCTTGACAATCACATATAGCTATCCTAGTATGGCACCTTAAGCTGGTCTCACTAACGACGTTACACTCCCGAGTTATTCCAACTTCCCCTGCTCCAATTCGTCTTCCTCCAGCCCCTCTTCTGCCTCTCCTGCTGATGGAACTACCTTGGTCAGTCCTACCAGCTCATCGTCCTCTTCAGGAACATCCTCAGAGTAAGCGTACCTGATGGGAAAGAGCAGGGATAGAAGAGGTTGAAGCACATGGGACCATACAACCTTAAGCCCCGACATAAATGGTAGAGTGCGGCAAAACTACAACAAATGTGACTGCAACCAGGAATGCTGCTCCCAGCACATGCGCTAAATTTGCGGGGTCTAACCGTGTGGAGGATTGCGAGGGCGCCCAGAGGATGCAGATGATGCAGAGCAGCAGCAGCGTGAGCACGTGCCAGAAGCACCCCGTGATCCAGTCCGCCTGCCAGCGCTCGTTAAAGGGGTCCGTCACCTTGAAGAAGATCTGCCACGCGCACACGCATGCACACGTCACACCAAAGGGATGCGCGCCAATGAGGGGGTTGTGAGGCAGGATCCCATTATCGCCTTGCATGGATCGACAGAGGGTGGCTCTACTTGAAGAGAGACACGACTCTGCGGGGCACTGTGCTGCTGCACATGGTGCACGTGGTGCAGGTGGCGCTGACCTCGTAGCCGATCCATGCGACGGACACGAGCACGGAGAGTGCGAGCATGTTGGTGAAGCGCCGGTACAGCTCCAGCTTGTGCGTCGTGCGCTTCGCCTGATGCACCGCACCGCACCGCACACACCACAGAGAGAAGGAGGGCAGGGGGGGAGGCAGACGTGAGTTGTGAGAGGGCGGACACAGAACGAATATGGCGAGGCAGGGGGAAGCAAAAGCCCTCCACGCACAGCTGAGCACTTGCATGCCAGTTTGTGCTCTCCCTCTCCCAACATGTCGCACCGGTGAATCCAGCCTCACCAAACCACACTGCCTGCAGCCACGCATCCACCTGCAGCTGCCTGAGCGCGTTGGATGCACCTGCAGCTGGCTGAGCGCGTTGGACGCACCTGCAGCTGGCTGAGCGTCTTGGAGAGGGCGGTGAAGATCCAGAGGATGAAGGCGGCGTCCAGCACGGCCACGGGCAGCACCAGGATCACGCGCTCGCCGCTGCTGAGGTCGTCGATGGCGCCCACGTTCTGCATCACGTCCAGCCCCTCCGCCGCCACCAGGTACGCCCCGCCCAGCGCCAGCACCTGGTGGGCAGGGAAGCGAGCGAGTGGCAGGGCAGCAAGCAAGTGATACAGATAGCCGTGAGCCACCGCTGAGGCCATCAGGGCGGCAAGCAATGGGTTTCCCTGGCTGCTGAAAAGCGGCACACACAACCTTCCACCCGCCTCCCTCGTTGCCCCACCTTCCCCGAGAGCCCTCCGAGCGTGGGGCGCACGACGCCGAAGCCCATGGCGACGACGAGGATGAGGATGCGCGACACCGTCTTGCGCACGGCGCCCACCGACACCGCCCACACCGTGATGCCCATGGGGCGGTACCCCGAGGCGTTGAAGTTGACGAAGTCGAAGTACCAGGCGGCCATCTCCACCATGCCGAGGAAGAGCACCGCCGTGATGCAGTGCTGCAGCGACACCACGTCGCGCCAAAACCGCACGTACTGCAGCAGCCACAGCACGCCCAGCAGCAGGTACGCCTGAGGGGTGGGGGGGGGAGAGAGGGGGTATGAGGTGTGGAAGAGAAGAGAGGGGGGGGGGTCGCACATGCACTGCTCCCATGAGTCGACGGCGGACAGTGTGCAGGGGCATACGGAGAGCGTGGCAACGAGGGCAGGGAGGAGGGTGGGGGGGGAATGTCAAGGAGGATCCCAGAGAGGAGGGAAAGAGGGAGGGGGGCCGGGTGGGAGCAGGAGCAGCACAGCCCACCAGAAGCAGGTCATGATGGACATGGCGGAAAGAGGAAGGGGGGCGTCGCTAAAAGCAGGAGTAGCAGCGCCAGCGTGGCTCACGATGGACATGGCGCCGAAGAAGTTGAGGTAGGGCGTCATCATGCCGGGCAGGTAGCCCGAGGGGTTCTTCCACACCGTGCCGCCCGTCACCGAAACCTCGGCGAGGTTCTTGTCGCAGATGACGAACCACAGGTAGTACATGCCCGTGCGCGTTATGTGGATCTCCGACGGCGCCGCCTCCACCGCGCTGTCGTTGCCCATGAAGTTGATCTCCACCACGCGCGGCCACTAAAGAGGGGGGAGGAAGGAGGGGGGAGGGGGGGGGGGAGGTGGGGAGGGGAAGGGGAGGAGAATGCAAGGGATGGGCTTTGAGGGTGTGTCACTGGCGAGGCCGCCGCCTGCACCTTGCTGCCGCTGCCCATCACGGCACCACGCGCGGCCACTGGGGGTCGGGGGAGGGGAGGAGCGGGGAAGTTATGGGCGGGATGTGCGGGAGGGGGGGGTCGGGAGGGGGACGGGGGGGAGGGTATGGGCGGGATGTACCGCAACAGTCGCTGATTGGGGCGGAATGGGAAGGCGTGGGGAGAGGTGTGGGACGGATGTGCCTGGAGTGGAAGGGAGGTGCCTGGAGTGGACAAAGAATGCTGCAGAGCCGTTCTCAACCAGCCACTCGGACCGGCGGGCCCCTCAGTTCTCCCTCACCACCCCCTCACCACCTCATCACCGCCCTGTCCCCCCCCCCCCCCCCCTTCCCTTTCAGCCCGTTCCACCGCCCCCTGGCGGACCTTACTGTCGTCGTCGCGCGGGCGCACGATGAGATGGCCGGGGTTGCACCCTGTCTTGCGCACGAGCTCGGGCGTGCAGCAGAAGGAGCGCGTGCCGGTGGGCGACGTGTGGCCAATGCGCGCGCGGTCGCCCACCTCGAACAGCAGCGCCTCGATCAGCCCCGTCTGCCCCGCCACCGGCGCGTCACGCGCCTCCCAGATGGGCCGGTGGAACGTCAGGTGCTGGAACCTGCGGGGCGCAGGGGGTGGGGGGCGAGGGGATGGGGAACCGAGGGGGCCGGGATTGCGATTCATAATGCGATTCGAAGGGTAGCGATAGTCGCCACTGCCATCTCGTGGTTCGCGAAACATGGGAAAGCTGGCACTGGCCGACGGATCAGACTGCTACTGACAAAAAACTCGCGCGAATGTCCGAGAAGCGCCGTCCAGCGTGAGGTGACAGGCCTGAGACTTGCGAGGCGAGACGTGAGGTGACAGGCCGAGCCGAGACGCAACAAGCATGGTGCCAGTTGGATCCCAAAGCAGTGGTCCAAAATCCGACCGCTGCAGCTCGTCCTGGCGCATCTCGCTCTCACATGCCACCACTGCTTCTCATCCAACGCGGTGTTTTTCAATCTTATTAGTTTCTCCGAGTACCCAAATCAATCACCGTATTATCGTTATTTCAAGTAGACAAACTATCCTCACTTATCATTCATGGCCATCAGTAGCGAAATTCAACGAGTCAGCAGGGCAAGACAGGACGCGGGACCTCTCGTAGCACACGCACCTGACGTATGCCTTGCCGTTCGCGACGGCTTTCCCGATGGTCGTCCAGTGCGCCACCGCTTCAGGCGTGGACGAGAAGAGACCCTCCCGCCCGCCGCGGAACAGGAAAGCATCCGCGGTGTGGAAAAACCGATTTCCCTTATAGGGGTGCACGGAGGCATTAGCTCTAGCTATAAGTCCCAGCAGCAGCAGTATGCCGAATGCGCATAGTCTGTAAACGTACGCCATTGTGTGCATCTTGATTCTATGGTTACCGCAGGACTAAAGCTGTTGAAAATCTCTAAGCTAGTCTCGTAGCCCTAGCACCAAGCATTCAGAAACGGAGGCCCAAATCGCGCTTTGCTCTCTACGACGCTCTTGACTGTTTCAGCCAGAAGCTACAAATGAGATTCAGAAGTCATGGCAGAGTGGTGGCTTGGCTTGGCTTGACGGAATCTAGGGAGGCTTGCTGGAGTGATCTTGGATTTGCGACACTACCGAAAGGTGCTGAAGCGAGCGGGAGGGAAGGAAGAAGGAGCGGGAACAGCAGAGCAACTCAATTGGTTGGGAAAGGTCAAGCCCTCTGACAAATTCGTCATCGCAAGGCTCGACATTGTATAAGCCTGTGAAAAGGTTCGGAGTTGTAAAGCGCAATATCTAACTCTTCAAGTCCAACGGCTAACGATGAAGAATCACGTCGAAGTGAGATTGTGGCGAAGCCTCTGTTTCTGGAACAGGCCATTCCATTCTCCGTGCTTGGACGTGGGGCCCCGTGACGTGATGCGCGCTTTGCCAAGTTGTGCGCGAAATTTTGGTTCCCACGGCGACCCGCGCAGTGGGGCTGGAGAATTTCCCCCTCTCAATGCACGCAACCCCCCTGGAAGCCAAGCGAATTCGAGTCGGTGGCTCGATGGATGCCATTCCCTGCTTCGTCACTCCACGAGGTGGTGCACTCTTCGTCCCCCCCCAGACCCCAGTAAACCAGACGGCCATTGTGCTCTTAGGTCCCACCGACACCAGTCCCTGTTGGACCTCCGCATGCTGCCTAGATGTTGTCGGTGCGAGCGTGAGCTTCTATATTTGCCGCTCTTTTATCTTAGAGTACCAAATCGGAAGTACCTCAGCTGAATGCGCGGTTACTTACAATAGTTGTTAGAAGATTACGCAATAGCGGCGACGTAATAATCCCATACCGTGCCGAAGAGAACGAGGAGCCTTTATTCCGTCCGCAACCTAGTTTAGAGCGCAGCTACCTGGAATACCCTCCATTGCTTCATTCGCCCTCAGAATGGGAACTCAACGGATATTAGTTCTCCTCGCCATAATCTGTAAGGCCTTGCGAGCCCAACATGCCTTTATTCGCTCACCTTGCACGCTACGCGTTGCACCACTCTCTCGCTTACGATGCCGGGCCCGCACCCCAGGATCCTAGAGACGCTTCTCGCTTTGTGCTGGCGTACTCGTCGTAACCCACCTCCCCTGCGCTCCTCCCCGTCCCATTCCCCCTGAATCCGCACAGGCGCCGTCGTGGCGCCTCTAGCGCATGCAGCCGCATCATCCCGCCGCGAGCTGGCCGAGCTCGTCAGTGAGTGGAACTATTAATTCCTTTCGCGCGTTTCCTCGTCGCATGCTCGCCCGTTTCGTTTCCCTCTTGGTGCTCGTGCGTGCGCCCCGCCAACTAACCCGCGGTGCATGTGTGCGTGCGCGCGCAGGCTCGGTGGCGTTCAAGCTGGACTCGCGGAATAAGAAGGAGATGATCTCCAGCGGCCATGCCAGCCTCCGCGTCTACAAGAAGTGAGTCGCATGAGCTGCCTCGTCCTCCCCCGACGTGTCACTGCCAGCCGCTCCGTCTCGTAGACGGGGAAACCGGGTGCCACACAGCACAGCGCCAGCAGCAATCAACCGTGCTGCGTCAACACCTCACCTTCGCACCCTCCCGCCCTCCATTCCCCCCTCCCTTGCCTTCATCCGTCGCAGGGACGACGGCACGTACACGCAGACCATGTCCATCGAGCTCTACGACGCCTTCACCAAGGGCGCCGCGCCGTACTACCGCCTCTTCAAGGGCAAGCCCGGCACCGGCGGGTCGGAAGCGTTCAGCGGGTACCAGAGCGTGGGGTGGCAGAAGATCAAGTCGAGCGGCTACAACCCGATGAAGCCGTTTCTCATGAAGGGGCGGAACTCGCTCAAGCACACGGCGTCGTACGACGGGATCACCCAGGCGCAGTACGACGCGTACGTGAAGCCGTACATGGAGCAGCCGGCTAGCTACTACCTCGTCGTCTACTACCCTGGCCTTCGCGCCTCCATGCAAGGACGTGGCTCCGTTGGCTGAGACCTGATTAAGTTAGTGTTCCACAAGAAAATAGGCCCTGTATAGAATGTATAGGAATGATAGACCCTTGAGCTGTTCCAACAAGCTTTCTATGCGAGCGGCTGACTTGTCAATGCAACGGTTGTCATGTCATCACTGTCAGGTGGAATAAATAAATGGAATGGAAGTTGCAATTTCAGCCTGGACTACCACAGCTTGCTACAGTACCCCACACATGTTGGTGAGGTAGCCTCTGCTTTCGAGTGTCACTGGATCAATCGCAAGTACACCTTTGCCATCATGACTGTTTAGCACAATAACATTTTGGCACAATGCAAGTTATGATCAGGGCTTACTTTATCAGACTATTTACTCTGATTAGTCTGAAATCTCAGACCTGTTTTTTGGCCAAACCTGAATTTCCAGATAAGGCATTTTCCCAATCCTGATCCCTTCAGAGTACGATTCTAGGGATCCTGAGAAAATCAGAGTTGTCGCTAACCCAGTACTGAGTTTTCAGAGCACAGCGCGTACAGACCCTGACTCATTACTTGTATAGTACCAACCTTCGGAAAAATTGGTGAAGTCCCCAATCGCTAGAGACATGCCCCACACACTGTCAAACATCTGCATTTGTCATGTTTGTATAGACTGTATAGGGTTACCTCTTAGAGGGTACAATACTTAGGTATACTTGTGTGTACTCTCACTTGACAATATTCAATTCTCATTTTTGATATGGTATCACGCGTAGGTAGGATCCCCCCCACCACCGCTTCCGCTCATGCCCCCTAGCGCCCCTCCTGGGCCCCGTCGCGCTCCTCTCAGGCCCCCTAGCGCCCCTCCCAGGCCCCGTCGCGCTCCTCCCAGGCACCGTAGCGCCCCGTCGCGCCCCTCCTGGGCCCCGTAGCGCCCCTCCTGGGCCTCGTCCCGCCCCTCCTGGGCTTCGTAGCGCCCCTCCTGGGCCCTGTAGCGCCCCTCCCAGGCCCCGTCGCGCTCCTCCCAGGCCCCCTAGCGCCCCTCCTGGGCCCCGTCGCGCTCCTCCCAGGCCCCGTAGCGCTCCGTCGCGCCCCTCCTGGGCCCCGTAGCGCCCCTCCTGGGCCTCGTCCACCCCTCCTGGGCTTCGTAGCGCCCCTCCTGGGCCCTGTAACGCCCCTTCCAGGCCCCGTCACGCCCCTCCCAGGCCCCGTCGCGCTCCTCCCAGGCCCCCTAGCGCCCCTCCTGGGCCCCGTCGCGCTCCTCCCAGGCCCCGTAGCGCCCCGTCGCGCCCCTCCTGGGCCCCGTAGCGCCCCTCCTGGGCCTCGTCGCGCCCCTCCTGGGCTTCGTAGCGCCCTTCCTGGGCCCTGTAACGCCCCTCCCAGGCCCCGTCGCGCCCCTCCCAGGCCCCGTCGCGCTCCTCCCAGGCCCCCTAGCGCCCCTCCTGGGCCCCGTCGCGCTCCTCCCAGGCCCCGTAGCGCCCCGTCGCGCTCCTCCCAGGCCCCCTAGCGCCCCTCCTGGGCCGCGCCGCGCTCCGCCCAGGCCCTGTAGCGCCCCTCCTGGGCTCTGTCGCGCCCCTCCTGGGCCCCGTCGCACCCTGCCCGACCCCGTCGCAGCCGCCAGGCCCCGTCGCGCCCGCCCGGCGCCGTCCCAGCCGCCCGGCCCTGGCGCGCCCGCCCGGCGCCGTCGCGCCCGCCCGGCCCCGTCGCAGCCGCCTGGCCCCGTCGCGCCGCCCGGCCCCGTCGCAGCCGCCTGGCCCCGTCGCCCTTGCCCGGCCCCGTCGCAGCCGCCCGGCCCCGTCGCAGCCGCCCGGTCGCCGTCCCGCTCGCCCTGCCCCGTCGCACCGGCCCGGCTCTGCCGCACTCGCCCGGCCCCGTCGCCCCAGCCCGGCCCCGTCGCGCCCGCTCGGCCCCGTCGCGCCCGCTCGGCCCCGTCGCCCCGTCCCGGCCCTGTCGCACCAGCCCGGCCCCGTCGCGCCCGCCCGGCCCCGTCGGGCCAGCCCCGGCCCCGTCCTCCTCACTGGTACGGTTCCCCCCCCCACCCCGCCCTGCTCCGTGCCGCCCCGCACCACACTGTACTGCCTGGCACCGCACTACACCGCACTACACTGCACTGCACCGCACTGCACCGCACTGTACCGCACTGCACCGCACTGCTCCGCACTGCACTGCCCTGCACTGCACTGGACTGTTCCTGATGGCGGCGGAGCTTCGCTTCGACGCTGAAGGTCAGCCCCTAGAGTTCGAGGCGTGGCTTGCTGACCTCCGCCGTCAACTCACTGGCCAGCGGCAGGATGGTGAACCGCTTTCCGCACACCTTGACGGTACGCTCCCCTGCCCAGACCCCCCTGCTATTCTGCCCGCTGACCCCACACCCACTGAGCGTGAGGCTACTGCTGCCACTGCCCGTGCGCGCTCTGTCTGGCTTTCTCGCGATGCTGTTGCCCAGCTTGCCATTAGCAACGCCCTTCCCCCATCCGAGCGTCCTCGCTTTAGGTCCCTCACTACTTCTCAGGCATACTTGGATGCTGTGATCAAGCGCTATTCCACCCCTCCGCTGCCTCGGTGGGTCGCCTGATCCTTCCGATGCTCTTTCCTGACCTTGCATCTTTCCCCACTGTCTCTGACCTCGCTGCCCACCTGCGCTCGATAGATGAGACCTGGCGCGCTGCCTGCACTGACGCCCAGCTTAGAGCCCACCAGCCGCCCATTACCTCTACCCTCTACCTGCTTGCCACCCGCCTCCCTGACCGCCTTGCTGTCGCCCGCGACCGCTTTCTTAGCGTTCACCCTGCAGACCTCACCCTCACTGACTTTGTAGACACCCTGACTGTGAAAGAGACCCGTCACCGCTCCATTGCCCAGGCGAGCGGTGTCGTGCAGGTCCCTATCTTTCAGGGTTGTGCCCCCGCTCAGTGCACCTTCTCCGACGGCTCTGCCGCAGTGGCTGAGATTGCTGCTGCAGCGCAGGTCCGTTCGGGGAAGGGTCGCCGCCCCAAGGCTGGGCGCGGCGGAGGAGGCGGCGGGGGTGCGGGCGGGGGTAGTGGTGGGGTCGGGTCGCCTGGTGCTGGAGTGGACGAGGGGACCCTGCCCAGTTCAGCTGAGTCGCCGCCCCTGCAGGTGCAGCAGCCGCAGCAGCCGCCGCAGTCGCAGCCTTCGCAGCAGCCGTCGCAGACGCGGCAGACGAGT